GGATTGATGCGCTGGTGTTGGAAATTCTATCCCTGACTTGGTGATTCAAACCATTCCTGGTCCAATCGACTTTAGGCACTTCAGTACCCCGAATGTCCTGTGGGCTGGTACAGGAACACCCCCCAAAGGTGATTGGCCAAGGGCTAATGTCCAGCCTACGTCCATATTTCAATAAATTGAGGACCCTGAGATATGGACGGTGTGTGATTCGTATGGAGCCGGTTCTATTTGACTGGTGAATTGCAGACTTTCTCTGACTTGCTTCATTCACAGGATAACTCTTGGTAAAAGTTTTATTTCTGTTTTTATTCCCTTTAATGTTATATAGAATAGCCAATTGTGTGTCTTTTTGTATGTTCTGTATTATCTGAAACATTTTTATACTTTGTACATATTTTATGCACTGCCCACTTTTGGGATATTAAATCATAAAATTAATAAGTGACTTCTGGGTACTTAAGCTCCGGCTCATATCTCCAGAGAGATTATTGTATTACAGTGTCTATATATGCTCGGTTTAAGTTCATTGCCAATCTGTATGCAATTGCACTGTGTGTGGGCATGTGCGTGCGGTGTGGATCCGTGACAGCCCCGCAGTAAAGGCATAGGTTGCCTTGCCGTCTGCGTAATCTTTTCCTCTGGAGTTAAGGCAGGTCGGAGAAGGCCAATTAGCATGGGTTCTACTTCAGGAGTGCCGATAGGCAGAGAAATAGAGACAGAATCCACTGGTCTTGGAACCCTTGGCAGAACCCTTGGCAAAAGGTCTGGGTACGTTTAGAACATCTCTCCCGTAGCCGTCAATCCAATTGGGTAGCGAGTTGAATAAGGTTCTCCAAGGAGGAGGGAGCTTCCACCCTAGCTAATTCATCCTTGAGGGACTCAGACAGACCTAGATGGAACTGGTATTTTAGGGCTGCGTCATTCCACCCGGTATTGGTGGACCATTTGCGGAATTTCACAATGTAGTCCTCCACAGCCCGTCGGCCTTGTTGTAGAGCATGAAGGGTGGATTCAGCAGTAGAGGTCCTCTGGGGGTCATCATAAAGAGCTGCCATGGTTTCAAAGAATGTGATCACTGAGTTCAGCGCTGGGTCTTTTTGTTCCAGTAAGCTGTGTGCCCATGATTGAGGTTTGTCAGATAGGAGAGAAATGATGAACCCCACTTTAACTGCCTCAAGTGAGAAGGTCCTGGGTTGCAGTGCAAAATACAACTCACAAGCATTCTTGAAGGCTCAGAATTTACATTGGTCCCCAGCAAGCATTCCGGAATGGTAACTCTGGGTAGTACCAAAGTGGGTGTAACAGTGGAAGGCGAACTGGCTGGTGCCACTGTAGAGATAGGACTAGGCAATGGATTCTGGTCTGCAGAAGGTGCAGTGGTAGTGAGCAAATGAAGACGTCCCTCCAGCTGAAAAATATCCCTCCTGCAGATCCTTGACCACTTGCGTAAGTGCCGTCATCTGTTGGCACAGGGCCTCTAATGTGGAAGCACCTCTCTCGGCCTCAGACATAATGGCTGGTTGATACTATCATGTATCTGGTGAGAGACGCCAATGGAGAGAGGGCTTCGCTTGTGACTAAGTTCGAGACTCCCCTGAGAGTGGGACAGCAGGAGTCAGGACCAAAGTGGCACAGGTCACCTGTAGGAGTGCTTGTTGGTGGTCCACCCAGGAGCACAGCTGATGCACTGAGATGAGGTCTGCAGACAGGTGGCGCCTGTGCGAGGTATGCAAGCCCTTCCGGGGAACAGGATTACTGGATAGCCGGTTCAAAGCCAAGATCCAGTACCGGGTGGAGATCAGAAGAGACGTAGTCAGATGGGATAGCTGAGGTCATACACAGAGGAGCAAGAGAGAATATCCGTTAGCCAAGCTGAGGTCATACACAAAAGAGAAAGAGAAAATATCCGTTAGCCAGCCGAGGTCAGGTCAGGTCAGGGTTTAAGCAGAGAAGGCAGGTCAAGGAGCAAGCCGAGTCAGTAACAGGAAATCACAGATCACAGTAGCACAGGAACAGGAAATCACAGTTCACAGTGGAACAGGAACAAGGTACTGGGGAGCCAGAGATCAATCAGAACCTGAGAGTAGTGCAGGGCTTCCTTATAAAGGCCGTTTGCCACCAAATTTGAGCTGATGTGAACTTCTGCAGCCATGCAAGGTATTGGCAGGGGTGCCAGGTCTCCTAAAACCTCTGCTGAGGACAGAGCCCTGACATCTGTCCCCTCTACCCTCTGGCACCCGCTGAACTGCACCCACAAATGGGCAAGAAGAGCCGGGGAAGCATAGTAGGTACAGGAGAGGTTCACACACACGGGGTGGCAGAGGCTGGCACCTGAAAGGAGAGCCCTGTGGCTTGCCCTCAGCAGGGATAAAGAATAAAAACAATACTTGCCCGGCCCCCAGAACTACATGTCCCGGGCGTCGGGCGATGTAAAGTGACCATCCCTGCATGATGAGCCGACATTGACCTCACAGCACTGCCTCAGAGCAAACTAGTCATAGGAAGGATCAGATTTATCATTCCTTGTCTGCAGATCTAAAGCTCATCAAAACCAGTTCAGAGACCAAACAAACCCAACAGAGAAAAGGGGCCCCGGACCTCAAAATTGTAGTAAACACTAAACAGTCCAAACTAAATGTCTTCCCATGGGGGGAGTAGTTCTTCAATGTCCAGCAACCCTCCTATTCCCCCCTCACATCCACATCCTATTATTGTGTGACCAATACCATCCAAATCATTCTTACTTTCATTTCCCAAAGTTATCCGTCTACAAGGAGACCTGTATAGATCACATGATGGCACCAATGAGGATGGAGGAGGACCGGAGTCACACTGACTGAGAAGATACTAAACCTCACCCTGGAGATCATCTACCTGACCGGAGAGGTGAGGAGGATTCTGGGAGGTCACATGACATCACTCTTATCTCTATTAATAAAAAACACAGACCTGACCGGAGAGGTGAGGAGGATTCTGGGAGGTCACATGACATCACTCTTATCTCTATTAATGACCGGAAACAGGGACACATGACATCACTCTTATCTCTATTAATAAAACACAGACCTGACCGGAGAGGTGAGGAGGATTCTGGGAGGTCACATGACATCACTCTTATCTCTATTAATAAAACACAGACCTGACCGGAGAGGTGAGGAGGATTCTGGGAGGTCACATGACATCCTCTTTATCTCTATTAATAAAACAGACCTGACTGGAGAAGTGAGGAGGATTCTGGGAGTCTAACATGATATTCCTATTGGTTCCTCAATACAGAGATTTCCTCTTCTGAAGTCAGGTGATCATATGACCATCACAGTGCCTCCATGTGACTCCCTAAACCCTGAGAGACACAACATGCAGAAGATTCTAGAAGTCACCAAGAAGATGATGGAGCTGCTGACAGGAGAGGTGAGCGTAGCTGGGAAAACTGGGACATTATCCAATCACTGATAGTATCATTTAGGATCTGTACATTATCTGCATTGTTACCATTGAAAGGATTTGTGTTATGCATTCAGAGTGGAATCTCTCGGGATGAGAATATTGTTAAAGAGGAGGATGAGGAGTATGGAGTGATGAAGGAGTTTTCAGAAGGACACAAGGATATGATGGAGCCACCTAATACCAGAACCCCCAGAGAGATGTCCCCGTCCTCTGTATTCCCGGGATTCCACACAGGAAGGTCACACCATCCCTCCTCATTACAAGGTTGGTTGTACGGAACATCTTGAACATGGATTTGAGGAGATAATATGTGGATTTTTCATGTTAGCTTATATTTATATATTATGAGAAATTTCGAATTTTCATGATTTAGAGTGGAGATCCAATCGATATAGAATTTGAGGTGAAAGCAGAAGAAGAAGAGGCGTATGTGAGGGATGATCAGCAGTCTATGGAGGAGGATGGAATAACGGGGACATTTATAGAGGAGGACACTCCTACAGAGATCAGCACAGGTGGGTCATGAACACTAAATCCATTCCTCCACCCATACTGCTCACTGATTGGTCCAGAGTAGGGCGGGGACTGGGTGATATCAGCCTGTAATCCCCTGGTCACTTCCTGAGCTGTGTTCCCCGTCCTGTATTCCTGGATTTCTCTCGGATAATCTTCCTTCTCTGTGCTGCAGACACAATTTATGTATCTAGACTGGATTTATGGAGGTTCTGGGGTTCAGCTGGCAGAAAAATGTTCATTTTCACCCTAGACAATCCTAGACCTAGGCCCGTAGGGCATGTTCTTTTGATCTTTTGCACAATGTCCAAGTCTAGTAAGATCTCTGACAGAACATTTCTCCCAGGGTTCCTTGCTCTGTTATCTGCTGGCTGTGCCGGGTGGAGGGATATGTCTGTAGTGTCTCAGACCCAAGTCACTGAGTGCAGTCTCAGGAGATGGGAGGCAGCGGTGTGGGATCTCTGCAACTTGTCTTGTGTAGACATTTAAAGTGGTTGTAAACCCTCCTGTAATCCCCTCATCACTGTCCCTCCTATAAAAGACAGCTCTGGTTGTTTCCTCACTCTCTGACTAAGGTCCATGAATAAAGAAATGACCTGGTAGGAGATCAGAGGAGCCATTTCCTAGTTCCCTTGAGGGTAGAATTGTAAGCTCCTTAGAGACCAAGCTGCCTGATGTGGGTGGAGTCCTGGTTTGGGGGAACCAATCAGCTCCTGTCTAGTAATCCTCTTTGCCTTTGTATTTTAGTCCATGGCCGGGAGATGAGGAAAACCTCCGAGGATTGTCTCACTTTGTCTCCAGACTGGAAAGTAGAAGATGAGGACATCACACAGTATAGTCCAGGAGAAAACCCGGCTCCCTCCAATGTCCATCAGGCACCACCCAGTGTAGATGGACCATCGAATTCCTCGTATCTGAGGAACCTCAGACTGTGCGGTACTGGGCCGGCTTTCCAACAGCAAAGAGCTTCTCCTGTACTGAGTGTGGGAAGAGGTTCCATTCTAAATCCAATCTTAATGCGCATGAAAGATCTCACACACGGGGGAGAAGCCGTATTCCTGTCCTGAGTGCGGGAAATGTTTTTTCACAGAAATCCAGTCTTAACAAGCATCAGAGATCTCACAAAAGGGAGAAGCCGTATTCCTGTCCTGAGTGCGGGAAATGTTTTTCAAGGAAGTCCCATCTTTACACACATCAGAGATCTCACACGGGGGAGAAGCCGTATTCTGTCTTGAGTGCGGAAATGTTTTTCACAGATGTCCAATCTTTATAGACATCAGCGTTTTCATACAGGTGAGAAGCCATATTCCTGTCCTGAGTGCGGGAAGTATTTCTGTTCTAAATCCAATCTTAATGTGCATAAAAGATCTCACACGGGGGAGAAGCCATATTCTTGTACTGAGTGCAGTAAATGTTTTTCACAGATGTATCAACTTTATAAACATCAGAGATCTCACATGGGGGAGAAGCTATATTCCTGTCCAGAGTGTGGGAAATTTTTTTCAGACAAGTCCAGTCTTCACACACATCAGAAATCTCACACAAAGGAGAAGTCATATTCCTGTCCTGAGTGTGGGAAATGTTTTTCACAGATGTCCAGTCTGCACACACATCAGAGATCTCACACGGGGGAGAAACCATATTCCTGTCCTGAATGCGGGAAATGTTTTTCAATGAAGTTCAGTCTTCACATACATCAGAGATCTCACACAGGGGAGAAGCCGTATTCCTGTCCTGAGTGTGGGAAATGTTTTTCAGAGAAGTCCAGTCTGCACAAACATCAGAGATCTCACACAGGGGAGAAGCCATATTCCTGTTCTGAGTGCGGGAAATGTTTTTCACAGAAGTCCAGTTGCTCACACATCAGAGATCTCACACAGGGGAGAAGCCGTATTCCTGTCCTGAGTGTGGGAAATGTTTTTCACAGAAGTCCAGTCTGCTCACACATCAGAGATCTCACACGGGAGAGAAGCCATATTCCTGTCCTGAGTGTGAGAAATGTTTTTCAGAGAAGTCCAGTCTGCTCAAACATCGGAGATCTCACACAGGGGAGAAGCCATATTCCTGTCCTGAGTGCAGGAAATGTTTTTCATGGAGGTCCAATCTCTCCAAACATCAGAGATCTCACACAGGGGAGTAATCACTTTCCTGTCTTGAATGAGGGAAATGTTCCTCACTGAAGTCCTGTCTTCCTGTACATCAGGGGTCACACACAACCCTGGAAATGTATTAGAGCCTTGAGTGTGGGAAATGTCTTCTAGATGAATGTTGCTGGACATCCCAGCTCTCATGTGGGGAAGAAGCACACACTTGATATACACGTCAGATACAGGTAAAACTCGAAAAATTAGAATATCGTGCAAAAGTTCATTTATGTCAGTAATGCAACAAAGGTGAAACTAATATATGAGACTCATTACATGCAAAGCAAGATAGTTCAAGCCGTGATTTGTCATCATTGTGATGATTATGGCTTACAGCTCATGAAAACCCCAAATCCACAATCTCAGAAAATGAGAATATTGTGAAAAGGTGGAATATTCTCGGCTCAAAGTGTCCCACTCTAATCAGCTCATTCAGCCATAACACCTGCAAAGTGTTCCTGAGCCTTTAAATGGTCTCTCAGTCTGGTTCAGTAGGAATCCCAATCATGGGAAAGACTGCTGACCTGACACCATCACTGACACCCTCCATAAGGAGGGAAAGCCTCAAAAGGTAATTGCAGAAGAAGTTGGATGTTCCCAAAGTGTTGTATCAAAGCACATTAATAGAAAGTTATGTGGAAGGGAAAAGTGTGGAAGAAAAAGGTGCACAAGCAGCAAGGATGACCGCAGCCTGGAGAGGATTGTCAGGAAATGACCATTCAAAAGTGTTGGGGACTTTCACAAGGAGTGGACTGAGGCTGGAGTCAGTGCATCAAGAGCCCCCACACACAGACGGATCCTGGACATGGGCTTCAAATGTCATATTCCTCTTGTCAAGCCGCTCCTGAACAACAAACAACGTCAGAAGCGTCTTACCTGGGCTAAAGAAAAACAGACCTGGTCTGCTGCTCAGTGGTCCAAAGTCCTCTTTTCTGATGAGAGCAACTTTTGCATCTCATTTGGAAACCAAGAACCCCGAGTATGGAGGAAGAATGGAGAGGCCCAAGGACTCCGAATATGGAGGAAGAATGGAGAGGCCCAAGGACCCCGAGTATGGAGGAAGAATGGAGAGGCACAAGGACCCCGAGTATGGAGGAAGAATGGAGAGGCCCAAGGACCCCGAGTATGGAGGAGGAATGGAGAGGCACAAGGACCCCGAGTATGGAGGAAGAATGGAGAGGCCCAAGGACCCCGAGTATGGAGGAAGAATGGAGAGGCCCAAGGACCCCGAGTATGGAGGAGGAATGGAGAGGCACAAGGACCCCGAGTATGGAGGAAGAATGGAGAGGCCCGAGGACCCCGAGTATGGAGGAAGAATGGAGAGGCCCGAGGACCCCGAGTATGGAGGAAGAATGGAGAGGCGCGAGGACCCCGAGTATGGAGGAAGAATGGAGAGGCGCGAGGACCCCGAGTATGGAGGAAGAATGGAGAGGCCCGAGGACCCCGAGTATGGAGGAAGAATGGAGAGGCACAAGGGCCCCGAGTATGGAGGAAGAATGGAGAGGCCCAAGGACCCAGAGTATGGAGCAAGAATGGAGAGGCACAAGGACCCCGAGTATGGAGGAAGAATGGAGAGGCACAAGGACCCCGAGTATGGAGGAAGAATGGAGAGGCACACACTGCAAGATGCTAGAAGTCCAGTGTGAAGTTTCCACAGTCTGTGTTGATTTGGGGAGCCATGTCATCTGCTGGTGTTGGCCCACTGTGCTTCATTAAGTCCAGGGTCACCGCAGCCGTCTAGCAGGAGATTTTGGAGCACTTCATGCTTCCTTCCGCAGACGAGCTTTATGGGATACTGACTTCATTTTCCAGCAGGACTTGGCACCTCCCACACTGTCAAAAGCACCAAAACCTGGTTCAATGACCGTGGGATTACTGTGCTTGATTGGCCAGCAAACTCGCCTGACCTGAACCCCATAGAGAATCTATGGGGCATTGCCAAGGGAAAGATGAGAGACATGAGACCGAACAATGCAGAAGAGCTGAAGGCCGCTATTGAAGCATCCTGGTCTTCTATAACACCTCAGCAGTGCCACAGGCTGATAGCTTCCATGCCACGCCGCATTGAGGCAGTAATTGCTGCAAAAGGGACCCAAACCAAGTACTGAGTACATATGCAGCTTCTACTTTTCAGAGGTGCGATATTGTTCTATGTACAATCCGTGTTTTATTGATTGCATGGAATATTCTCATTTTCTGAGATTGTGGATTTGGGGTTTTCATGAGCTGTAAGCCATAATCATCACAATGATGACAAATCACGGCTTGAACTATCTTGCTTTGCATGGAATGAGTCTCATATATTAGTGTCACCTTTTAAGTTGCTGCACTGAGGTCACACTCCCGCACTCTGAGGTCACACTCCGGCACCCCCTGAGGTCACACTCCCGCACTCTGAGGTCACACTCCCGCACTCTGAGACTGGTAAAACTTTATTTTGATGGTATTTATTCACCGCTGGAATTTTTATCTTTTTGCTATATAAATGAAAATGTCCAAAAATTTTGAAAAAAGTGTTTTTCTTATAAAAGTTTGCAAATAAATAATCTTTCTTCATAAATCTTGGCCAAAATGTATTCAGATATCTTTTTAGTAAAAAAACAAAAAACAAATTAGTTTTTAAACCAAAAATTATAATTTTTCCAAATAAAATTTACATTTTTGTTTTTTTTACACCCTTAAAGGCTGTAAAAGCAATAATTTCTCCTTCTCTCCGG